CTGGAACTCGTGCAGGAAGAACAGGTAGTCCATCAGCTCCGAGGGGGGCAGCCCCTTGTGGCTCTTCCTGATGACCGTCTTCTTCATGGCCTTGGCGATCTCGAAGGCCGCCAGGTTCTTGATGGAGCAGCCCAGCTGCTCCAGGATGGCGCGGTTCCGGCGGGACAGGATCCCGCCCATGAAGATGGGGAAGAGCTCAAAGACCTCATCATCGGGGGCCTCGTCGGGGTGGCGCATGGGGCCCTCCACGCCCAGGATGCTGGAGTTGATCTGGTCCAGGACATCGTCGTTGTAGTAGTCCTCCTCCTTGAAGAGCTCCTCTGCCATGGTGTGGGCGATGGCGTCCCGCTCCTTCCCGCTCAGCCGGGAGAAGTAGCGGGGAAAGATCTTGAGCAGGTTGAAGAGCACGGGCAGGAAGCGCAGGGGCAGCACCTTGGAGACGATGTTCACCACCACGGCCACGTCCTCGCTCACCCTCCCGAGGACCTCCGACAGCTCCTTCCCCACCCTCTGGGCCAGGGTCTTCTTCTCGCCCAGCACCACGTAGAGGGCCGCCAGGTACTCCTGCATGGCCGGGATGGTGAACACGAAGGTGTGCTCCTTCCCTGGCTGCACGCACGGGCTGAGGAAGAAGCGGAAGACGTCGCTGCGGAAAACCTCCAGGAGGTTGAGCTCACTCTCAGTCTTCATCTCCACCTCAAAGCACTGCTGCAGGTCGTCCTCTGAGAAGCAGGTCTTGCGGTTCATCACCCCCTCGTAGGCCAGCTTGCCCACCGTCTTGGCCACGTACTTCATCATGGAGATGTTGGTGGGGTCGGTGCTGTCCAGCACCTCCCCGCTGAAGTTGAGCCTCAGGAAGCTGGTGTAGATGCCAGTGAGGGTCTGGGTGGGAGGCACCGTCCTGGTGAAGTAGAGGAAGTGCAGCGTGGTGCACACCAGCCAGCAGTAGGAGGGCAGGAAGCAGGCGGCTGTTATTTGGTTGTGGCGCTCCAAGTTCCTGGACAGCATCTCCACCAGGTTCTCCTGCTCGGCCGAGCTGCCACCCCTGCTGCCCTCCCCGCTGCAGCCAGGCTGGCTGAGGCGCATCTGGAAGTAGAGCTTCTGCAGGTTGGTGTCGGAGAAGCCGCAGATCTCGGCGTAGCGGCCCACGTACTTGGAGGGGATGCGGCGCACGGCCGACGGGCGCGTGGTGACGATGATGCTGGCCTGGAACCAGAGGGCTGGGTGAGCCTGGAGGGGCCCAGCAGGGTCCCAGGTGCATAACCCACACACAGGTGCACAACCCACACACAGGTGCACAAGGATCACCCCACCCGGTTCAAGAAGCTGCTGGGCAAAGGGCACTGGATCAAATGTGGCCCAGGCAGAGGGGATGGAAGGATTTTCCCTGTCCCCTGCTAGACATACGTGCAGTCTGGAAGACCACAGCCCAGGAGACTGCCTTCACTACCTCACCAGGCCTCCCCAAAGTTCCCACACAGACCACTCAGAAACAGCAATGTGAGGCCACCTTGGTGAGTCCCTCCAGTCCCTCCCCTCCCTGTTTGCTCCCAGCCAAGCTGCACTACAAGTGATCACCCCAACAGCCCTGCCTGTGATGCCTCAGGGCCCACACCCAGCCTTTCTCCAGCACAAAGGAGCTGGGGGGAGACACCGACCTCGGGCAGGAGGTACTTTCTCAGCAGGTTGACCACGATGGCAGAGGGAGGCACGGGCTCGTTGGGGTCACAGCACAGCTCCGTGCCAGCCAGACAGAAATCCAGGTTGAGGCGCTCCAGGCCGTTGAGGATGAAGAGCACCTTGAGGTTGGAAGCCCCCAGCACGGGCACCACGTCCCGGAGGTGCTGGTACTTCTTGGTTATGAGGCGGCGCAGGGAGATGGGGGCATTGCTGTGGGACAGGTCCTCGCAGGAGAAGGGGATGACCAGCTCGAAGCGGGGCAGGCGGCCGTGGCACCAGTCCACCACCATCTTCTTGATGAGGGTGCTCTTGCCCGTGCCCACGGTGCCGTACAGCACCACGTTCTTCACCTGCCGCCCGCAGGCGTCCGCGTCGAAGAGGTTGTGGAGGCTGATGACCTGCCTGCAGGGCTGCTGGAGCTGCTCCTGGATGGTCAGGTCAGGGGAGGGCTTCAGGATCTCCTCCAGGGAGCTCTCCCGGATCACTGGGTCCACGTGGACGGCGTCCAGAGAGAAGGAAGGGCCAAACTGCTGCTCCTCATTGGGCTGGTGGCTGAACCACGCAGACAGGCTCTTCTGGTGCTTCTTGATGGCACCTGGGAGGAGGAGGGTGCTTAACAAGACAAGGGCAGGGGGCTGGGGAAGTTGCCAACCCCAAACCACTGCAACAAGGTGGCTGCAGTGAGGGGACAGCACCTAGTTCTTGCTGACCCTCCCACTGCCCAGGGCAGCAGCTGCCCCCAGCCTGCTGTGCAGGACCCTCACCCAGCTCAGGGCTGCAAGCTCACCTGAAGAGGCCACGTTCCTCAGCTGGGACTGACTGTGGCGAGAGGAGCTGGGGTGGACAGGATTCTCCCCAGAGCCTCCCTGGTAGCCAACATAGCCCCTGCAAGAGGAGGGAGAGTGTCACGAGGAGAGCAGGGCCAGCAGCTCCCAGCCCTGCCTGGGGCAGGGTGGGCAGATCACAGGTGAGTGCCGTGGGAAGTGCTGAGTGGAGCCAGCTCACCCCTTCCTTGCCCCACACCAAGGGAGAGCACAGGGCCAGGGTAAGGGCACAGCTAGGAACCAAGGGCAGGTCAGCAAGGCAGGTGCTGTGCATCCCCAGCAAACCCACAGCAAGGCACAGGAGCGGGGCTGAAGGCAGAGCAGGCAGGGACTTGGGTGTGGGTGTTTCTCTAGGGGGAAGCAAATCATGTCTGTGCCCACAGAGCCCTGCTGGCCTCGAGGCAGCCACCTCAGCCACCCAGGCCCTGTGGCAAACAGAGACCCAGCTGTGTGGCACTGTACCTGGGGAGGGAGATGCTGCTTCCACGAAGGATCTTCCTGAAGAAGCAGCTGCCTGCAGTGCCTGAGGGGGAAGAAGAACACACAGAGTCAGGGATGGGCTTCTCCAGCCCAGCAGCACTGACCCCACCCAGTCCAAAGGCTTCACACCTTGCTGGGGTGACCCACAGACTGCAGAGCTGGGGAGGGATGTCACTGGCAGCAGGACAGAGCCAAGGGCACAGTCCCACAGGCACAGAGCCCAGCTCACCTGGCACTGAATCAGCACACGCGTGCACACCCCAGGTGCCTCTGCCCCATGACAGGGATCTCTGCATCCAGCTGCCCCAGGGCAGGCAGCTCTGGCATTGCATGGCCCGTGCCATCCTCACCTGAAAGAGACGGGGTGCCCACAGGTGGGTGAGGGGCTCTGGGGTGCTCAGCATCTGTCCCACGTGGGGCAGGGCAGGATGGGGCGGTGGGGCTGTGGTGGGGCAGTGCCCTGCCCAGCCTTGCCTGCCCCAGTACGGTCCAGTCCGGCAGAACCGGCTGTGCTGGTGCTGACTCAGACTCCCGCCCCGGCTCAGCAGGGCGATCCTCCGGGAGCACGGGCTGTGCTCACAGCCCACAACATCCTGGGAAACCGAGGCACGGCGGGGGAGGGAGAGGGCGTAAGCAAACTCCAGCAGGTAGGAAGGGACACGAACAGCGACTGCTTGGCTCAGCCCTGCCACAGCCCGGGCTTTTTACAGCGCATCCAGAGGGAGAAACTAAGGCACGGGGACAGGGCAGCACGGGGACAGGGGCAGCTCGGGGACAGGGGCAGCTCGGGGACAGGGCAGCACGGGGACAGGGGCAGCACGGGGACAGGGGCAGCACGGGGACAGGGGCAGCTCGGGGACAGGGGCAGCGGGGCTGACCTTGAACCGGGGTGTCCTGGTCTCGATGCCTTTGCAGCCGGCAGAGCCCAGAGTGTCCCGTGCCCAGCTCCCAGCCCCCTCTGCCGAGCAGAGGGCCCCACGCTTCCCCCTCTTCGCGGACCCCCTTCGGGGACCCCAGTGCCACTCCCGGCCCACGAACCCCCGCTCGCCGTGACCTCCCTCCCCGCTGCTCCCGTGCCCACGGTGGCCGAGGCCGTGGCGAGGCAGGGACACGGAGCCCGGGGCAGCGGTGGAGCCGGTGCCAAGCAGGGCTCGCAATCAGCTCCGGGTTACCTCCAGCTCGCGGTTAGCTCCGGCAGGATTCCGAGCTCACGGAGCAGAGCCCCGGTGCCGCTCACCCGCCTCCTCCCATGCCCGTCCCGGCGAGAGGCTCGGCTGCGGAGGCGGCTGCTCTGCAGCAATAACTTCCTGCAACGCCATCCCTGCCCCGTCCCGCCCCACGCCCAGCGCCTGCCAAGCTCCGCGGGAGGGCGGCCGGAGGCACAGCGGCCAGGGAAAGCGCCTGCACCCCGGACACGGGGACGGACGGAATGGGGGGGGGCTTGGGTCTTACCAGATGTGCTGCTGGGCGTTTCCTCCGCGCGCATCTGGCGGCTCCGCATCCCCGGCTGCATCCCGGCTGTGCAACTGCAGCCTGCGAGGATGGGTTCTGCTCCTGAGCAAATCAGCCGCTCGGCTGCCACCCTCTCACAGGGAGAGGGAGCAGGGAACAAAACAGCAGCCCCACCAGGAAAAGGAGCTGGAGGAAGCTGGACCTCAGCGCGGGTGGTTTTGCCTGGCTGTGTAACACACACACACACACACACAGACACAGACACAGAGACACACACACACACACACACACACACAGAGACATCTGTACCTGCCCTCTCGCTGCTTGCAGGTCAGCTCTGGTGGTGCTGAGACGAGGGACAGCTGTGTCAGTGCTGCCACATGCACCCTGCTTAATCCCTGGGTGCTGTCTTGGGGTGCTGGGGCAGAGTGGTCACACGTGGGTAACGATGCTCACACCCCAAATGCCCAGACACTGCCCCCCCCAACCCCAGGACCTGGGCACACACCTCTCCCCTCACGTGTGTCCCCCTGAAGCACTCAGAAGCACGAGACATGCAGGCACTACACTATAAATATAGGTTTTATTGATGTGTGAAATCCAACGAGTACAGCTGGCACCTCAGAAACACCGACATCAATCACAACATCTCCTCCTGCCCCAACAGCTCCTGGGACCCTCTGTGGGCACTGGTGAGTGCCAGCAGCGAGCTGGGGCCTGGCACCCCGTCCCTGCGGGGCACTTACCTGCGTGTGCAGCCCAGCCTGGAGGGCCCAGGGCCTCACCTCCACCCTGCCTGGTTCCTGCCAGGCTGCAGCTGTGGGCAGCAGTGCCCTGGTCCTGCTTCTCAGCCTCCTGCCAGCAAGGCAGAAGGACCCAGACAAACACCACCCAGACCAGCTACCACGACAGATATACCCTCCCTCAGCCTTGGAGGGGTTACCTGCAGCTTGTTTTGGCAAACTGCCCCAGGGGAAGCACAGCTCACACCTGTGGTCGTGTGTAAAGGTGGGGTTCAATGGCTGCACCTCTCTGCATGGTCCCCTCAGCCCTGTACCTCACAGGCACCCTACTGTGCAGCCCCCACTGCATGGGTGGACACGGTGAGGACTGGAAAACCACAGGGGGAAGGACACACTCAGAGATCCCAGGGCTGCCCGTGGCAGAGGGACAGGACAAATGGTGTCCACACACAGTGAGAAGGAAACACTGTTTTATTGCCTGATTTGGGAGAGGGGTGAAACCCTGGGAGAAGCCCCATCTCCTCCCTGTTCTAGCCCAGTCTCCCCTCCAGCAAACCCCAGGCGGGTGATGATGCATTTGCTCTTCTTGTGCGTGTGACAAAGGTGGCCTGGCCATGCATGGAGGTGAGTGGCATCCCCCTGCCTGCCCTGCCTGCATTCCCAGCAGCTGTGAGAGGCAGAACCTGGTGCAACTTGGGCTGAAGGGGCTGAAGCAGTTTTTGATTCCCAGGGAGCTGGAGCCACAGCTTGAACCCCCATCCTCGTCCACTCAAAGTGCATCACAAGGGAAGGCAGGGGCAGGAGAGGAGAGGAGATGTGGGGGGAGAAGCCTGCTCTCCTCCATCACACTCCTCATGATTATCCAGACGCGTTCTCCCGGGGGATTCCTGCATCCTGGAGCACCCACGGCACCGCTTCCCTGCTCTGATAAAGTGCATCCTTGCTGCTCCACCGAGGGCCCCCCTGAGCAGGACGGCTGCACCCCGTGCCCCTGCTATGCCAGGGCAGAGACAGCCCCCCTTGCCCTGCTCCTGCAGGGAGGGGACCACCCGGGCAGCAGAGGGGCAATAAAACCCAGGTGCTCAGCCCAGCCACAACAACCTGGGGGCTCAGTGCAAAAGTGCTTCTTCCCTTTGCATTTCCCTGTGCCTTCTGCCATCTCTGGGATTGTCCTGGCAGGGAGGGAAGGGGCCATGGCTCAGTTCACTCCTCAGGCAGCACTGAGGGTGCCCAGATCCCTCACTCATTGCAGCCCCTTCGTATCAACACCTCCCCGTGCCTCCTGCTGCCCTGGGGATGAGGGGTGCCTGCCCCATCACCCCCACTCCCCAGTGCCCTCACCCATCCTCCAGCTCCAGGGCTTGTCCTGGCCCTCTGCCCCGCAGTGGCCATGGACCTGCTCAGCTGGGACACCGTGACTCACCAGTGCAAGAGGCCCAGGCTGTGCTGAGCTCTCCTGGGCATCCTGGGGGAGCTCCAGCTGCCCCATCCCGGACAGGCTGGTCCCAGCAGCCACCTGAGGAGCTACCTGCCCCAACAGTCTTCTGAGCTCAGCCAGCCCATCCCAAAGCCTCGTGTTGAGCACCCCTGTGCCTGAGGGACACGGGCAGTGGCAGTCCCATGTGCCTGCTGGCAGCCCCTTTGCTCCATTCCATCACTAGCCCATCTTGTCCTGATCCTCCTGGGAGCAGCAGTGATGGCACAGGGGTGTCCAGGTGGAACCTTCTGGAAGGTGCAGGAAGCAGCAGGACACAGCACTGGGGATGGCATTGCCTCCAGTGTGTGGGAAGCAGAGCCCAAATGCCAGGAGCAGGCAGGAGCTGTGCAGAGCTGCCCCACTGACACCTCCTGCCAGCTTGGGATCCATCCTGGGAAAACCCTCAGCCCAGCCAGGCTTAACTAGTCCCTGCTCAAGAGCAGGACAGAAGCAGGGCATCAGTCCCATCAGCTCCACAGACAAGGAGGTGGAAGAAGGGTGACAGCCCACAGCCCCAGCATCCCCCTGGCTCCCTGCCCATCCATCCACCTCGTACAGAGCAGGCACAGGGACCATTCCCCACTCCACTGTGCCCCTGTGGCTGTGGGAGACTGCAGCCCCCCAGGTGGCACAGCTCCCTGCATGGGGCTGGCAGCGAAGGAAGATCCAGGAGGAATTCCCAGAGGGGAATTTTGTGAGACATAGTGATAAGTCAGGCAACACTCCCTGTGGAAGACCCCGATACCCAGCATAGAAAGGGCACCAGGGTATGTCCTGCTTCCAGACCCTCTGTGCAGGAGAGCCCTGTGGCCAAACCTCTCTGGCAGCCCTCTCTCCAGGCAGGGGAAGCTCGGCTTTGCTGAGTGCCCAGCATCAGTGTCAGGCCAGCCAGACCTTGCTGTGCAGTCCCAACATGAGCCATTGAAATCAAAGATCAGTCTCCAGGACTTTGCTGAAGTCTGGCATTTGCCCTGCAATCCCTGGCTGCTCAGAGTGCCAGCAGCAGCACCACCTCCCAGGCTGCACTTGACCCAGGGCCAGCACACCAGGGTAGGGCAGAGCTGCCTTCCCCATCCAGAAACCATCCCATGTGCGTGGGTGACCAGTGCAGCCCAGTGACACCAGTGCCAGCACACACAGAGCCTGTGCTGTGCAGCCAAGCAGCATGTGGTGTTCCCAGCACAGCAGCTCGTGCAGATGCCCCACCACCTCCGGGCTCAGCTCAGTTCCTTTGGAGAGCCAGCAGGGTGCCCCGACCTGCCTTCCCTCTGCAAGGTGTGTGGAGAGGGAGGTGACCTCGGAGGAGACACTTGCCAAGAGGGACGTTTTCCTGATACCAGTCACAAGGTTCAGAGCCCTTCCCAGTGTCCGGGTCACACCCACTGCAAACAAACTGCTCTGAGAGCTCACCTGGTTTCCAAACACTGCTGGGACTCCCTTCTGCACAGTGTCACCCTGGGAGGGAGGCTGGCACTGTGACAAGGCTGGGTGTCCCTGCCATCCCCTCCTTGCACAGCCAGTGCTGAGCGAGGCTCTTCTGCCCTGTCCTGCTGAGACAACCACAGTTGTGCTGGGAGGAGAGAGGTTGCAAGGGAAGGGCTCAGGGCCAGCTCTTCTCCTGCAGTGGAGGCTCCAGTGATGGCATAGCCGAGCCCAGCCCTGCTTTCCAGCCTCCTGGCACTGGCAGGGTGTGGCAACTTAAATCCTCCTTGCTCCATGCAAGCTCTCGAAGAGACCAGTCACTTCTCTCCACGTTGGTTGATTTGGGTCAGACCCTCTTGTCTGAGACCCCAAAGACAACAGGGACTGAACATGAGACTCCCTAAGGTCTGAGATTACTGTCCTACTCTCACAGACCCTGCCATATCCCCAGGTTTGAAGATCCCATCTCTGAGGATGGCACCAAGAGCAGAAGTCTGAGACAGAGCCCCAGGTCCTCCTCTGCCTGCTGGCTGCTGGCTCCCTTTCCCCTCTGGGGTGCAGTGGGGTTCGTGGGAAAAAAAAAAAAGGAAAAATTAAAGAAAAAAAAGAGGGAAGATTTGTGCTGAAAGAAGAAGGAGATGCAGCAACAGGAAACACTAAAGCCTTGTGCAACTTGGCCTATTGCATCTTTGGGCTCTTCTCAGCACTGACTCACGTGGTGCCAGCCAGGACGAGGAACGGGGCCATGTGCTGCACTCCCAGCCCGGGCTGTGCTGCTCTCCTCTCCTCCCAGCTCCAGCCCCTGGGTGCTGCTCCCCACTGCCTGGAGCATCCTGCTCCTCTCAGCCTTGCTGGGCACACAGCCACCTCCTTGGGAGCGTCCCTGCTGTCCCAGGGGTGACAAGAGGGGACCCAACCTCCTCCGTGGGGTCCAGCAGTTCCCAGGAGAGAGAGGGTGGCACATGCCAGGGCTGTACAAAACGTTTTGCAATGAAGAGTGTGTGTGTGGAAAGGTTAAAACAGTTCCGAGATGTCTCAAAACCCTTCTCGACTGAGCCAGGCCTGGCTGGCACCCACCGGTGCCTCTGCCACGGTCTGTGGCCTGCCAGGAGCACCGTGTCCATCCACAGAGGGTCCCTCACAGCAGGCCAGGCCCGGGAGTGGCCGTGGGGGCCCCTTTATCTCTCTGACTTGACTTTGTACCTGAGGACCAGGTAAGCCAGGAGCCGCAGGATGACGAAGAAGATGCCCAGGATGAGGAAGTCCAGGTAGAGCTTGGCCTCCTCCACGTCCAGCTCCTGCAGGATCTTGATGGGCTTTTGGAAAGGGCAGAAGTCCTCGAGGCACTCCAGGTCCTCGCGCTCCATGGCATAGATGGTGAGGATGACGCCCTCAAAGCCGTACCTAGGGCAGAGCACACCCGAGAGAGTCACCCCGGGCACCACAGGAGCCCCAGGGGAGCCCAGGACAGGGAGTTCTGGCCAGAGTGTGGGGTCCCACCTGACATAGGAGACGTAGGAGCTCCACTGCAGGTAGGTGGGGATGGTCTTGAAGCTGACAAAGAAGCCCGAGAAGAGCAGGACGGGGATGGCAGTGACGGGTCCCACAAAAGTGGCCACCTGGGGAGCAGAAGCTGGGTGTCACATCCTTGTCCAGGGGTGAACCACTCCCCCCACACCCCAAAATTGCCATGGGACTCCTTGCAAGCCTCCATGAGACAGGCAAAGCCCCGTCTGACCTGCAGGGAGGTGGAAGCAGCTCCGATGAGAAGCCCAAGGGACTGGGCCACCAGGGCCGTGGCGGTGGCCAGGGCGGAGAAGAGCAGGAAGCGCGTGGCCTCGGGGGGCTGGCCCGTCATCCAGTACACGATGCTGCAGTAGGCAATGGGGCAGATCACCTGCACAGGGGCACAGAGACCACCCTGCTGGACCCACGGGCACGCTCACCCCACACACCCTTCCTGGGGGGTGCAGGGACCCCACAAAGCCCAGCCCGGGCACGGGACAAGTGGCCGTGCAAACAGGGCACAGCAGCATCAGGGTTGTGGCTGAATCCAGCTGAAGCCTCACCTGGAAGGGCACATCTGCCATGGTCTTTGCCAGGTAATAGGCTTTCAGGCTGTACCAGTAGTTCAAGTGCTCTCTCAGGAATACAGTCATCTCCTGGGGGACTGTGTGGGAACAAGGAGTTAGCAGCCAGCAGTGTCCTGGGGGGCTCCAGCCCCACTCCCACCCATCCTGGGTGCAGGCAGGGGTGATGCTGCCCCAGCACAGAGCTCCAGGTAACCTCCTGCCTCTGCCCAAACCTTCATCAGGGAAAAAAAAAAAATCAGACACTGATTTGGGAACTTTCCTCATGGAAAAGTCAGCTTGACTGGGGGCTTTTAGGCACACTTTTTGAGGAAGTGAAAGAGAGTTAAAGTGGCTGAAAATGCAGCTTTACAGACAGTTTATCAGAGAAAAAGAAATAACCCAGCATTCCACTGAACCCAGAAGCATATCACAGCCAAACAGGGAGCAAATGCAATACACACGAGCAGAATTTTCATCCTCTCTTCTTTGTTTGATTTTTTTCCCTCCTTCTCCTGTCTTTTTTCCCCCCCTCTTGTCCAAGTCATCGGGCTGCCCCCCACGCTGCCCAGCGCTCAGCTGGAGCACCCCAAGGGCTGGGAGCAGGGCTGTGGGGCAGGAGCTCCTTACAGGTGAGGATGGTGGGCATCAGGGCAGCAAACATGAGGAAGAGCATGGAGAAGAAGAGGAAGCCGGTGTTGTTGAAGACCTTGCCCGCGTCGTTGCCGATGTGCAGGTAGAGCAGCCCAATGAGGACCCCGATGCAGATGTGGGACATGAACCTCAGGTGGGTCAGCACCTGCAGGCACAGAGGGCACAGCCTGAGCCCCCTCCAGCCCCCATTTAAATCCTTGCCTCTGCCAGCCCCAGGTGGCCAACAGGCCCCATCCCCTGAGCCCTGTCCCAGCCTGTTCTGCCCTCACCGTGTCCCTCAGGATGCAGATGAAGGTTCTCTTGAAGAGGATGCAGAACTGGGTTGAAGTGCTGGTGGCAAATGTGTGGCTCTCGATGTGATCCACGTCCTGCAAGGCCAGAGGCGAGTCAGGGATGTGGGTCAAGGGTGCTGCTAGGACAGCACCCTGGGTGGGCACCTGCAGGAGGCCCCTCTGACCCCACTCACCGTCCCACAGTGTGCTGGGCACGATGAATCTGCCTTGTCAGGGCTGCTCTTCTTCTCAGCCATGGTGCACATGCCATTCTGGACGGCACGGAACAGGACGGGGTTGAGGTCCCCGTACTCTCCTGAGGCCACCTCGATAACTGTGGGGGGACACAGGACCCCTGAGAGGTGCTGAGCCAGCCCTTGCCACCGCTTCCCCAGCCAGCACCTGACGGGTAGGGCGCAGGCATCTCCCCTGGGCAACCTGGAGGCATCTCCCCTGCCCCTGGGCAGCCCCCAGGGCTTGGGCTCTGGGTTTGGACCTTGCCACCCTCTGCAGCCCCAGCTGGGGCAGGGGCACTCACTGAAGTCAGCGGGGTTGTGGTATGTGGGGCAGTGGAGGCCGAGACCCTTCAGGTAGGGGATGAGGTTGGTCACGATGCCTTTGAAGATGCACTGGCCCTGGCTCAGGATGTACAGCTGCAAGAGAAAGCCAAGAATATGGCAGGTGAGGAGCAGCCAGAGCACTGTCACCTGCTCCCACCCACCTCCCTACCCTGGGGTGTCACAGGGCACCTTTGCCAGACCCCTGTGTGCCACACAAACCCCAGGTCAAATGCCTACAGCCCCTCCCTCCCATGGCCTCTCTCCTGGCCCTTAGGGCCAGAGGGACCCCCTGAAGATCCCTGTGTCCCATCCCAGCCCAAACCTTGTCGAACATCTCAAAGAGCTTGGCGCTGGGCTGGTGGATGGTGCAGATGATGGTGCGCCCACCCTGAGCCAGGGAGCGCATCAGGGACACCACCTGGAAGCAGGAGGCACTGTCCAGGCCACTGTGGGCACGCAGGAAGGGGCAGAGAGGAGAGAGCAGAGAGAGAGAAGGACAGAGTTGAGAGGAGGAGTAGTACATCCTAAAGATGCCCCTGCTTGTGGGCACCCTCCTCTCAGATCAGTGGAGAGGAGCATCAGCCCCAGCCCTCTTGGAGCCCCTGGGCACAGTCCCACCCCACCCTCAGGTGGGCACTGGAGGGTACTGGCCACCCCAGTGCCCCTGGCAGGGGAAGCCCAGCTGAGCAGTGCTGGGGAGCCCCAGCCCCCCTGTTCTCACCTCGTGGGTTCATCGAAGAACATGACAGGGGGGTTGTTGACCAGCTCCAGGGCGATGGCCAGGCGCTTGCGCTGCCCCCCCGACAGGGAGATGGTGCGGGTGTACGAGCACTCCAGCAGCCCCAGGGCTGTCAGGATCTCATTCACCTGTGAGACAGCCCATGGTGAATGAGGCTTTCATGGACTTTCATCCCATCCCTGCCATCTCCCTTCGCTGGGAGCCCCTCGGTCCCCTCAGGGACCCGCTGTCTCCACCCTGGGGAGAGGTGAGGGGGCTCTGGGCCCACCCTCCTCTGCACTTACCAGCTCCTTCTTCACCTCCTGCTTCTCGCTCAGCTTCAGGTTAGCAGAGACCTGCAGGGAGAAGAGGGGGAGGGAGACACAACTGTCAGATGCAGGGAACAGATCCAGCAGCACTGTGGCCCAGCCCTGCCCAGCCAAGATCCCAGAGCAGCAGCTCGGGGTGAAGGCAGCAAGAACAGCAGGATTCTGTTCCCGCATCCCAGACAGCCCTTGGAAATGCCTGATGTCAGCCTGGGCTCAGTGCCCGAGGACGCAGCCCAGAGGTGCCCAGAGAGCCCAGCAGGCTCCTGCCTGGCCTGGCTCACCATCATGGCCTCGAGCACGGTGAGGTGTGGCAGCAGCATGTCGTCCTGCATGATGTAACAGGACATCTTGCGGAACGTGCGCAGGTCCCGCGGCCGCCCGTTCACCAGGATCTGCCCCTTCATGCCAGTCTCCCTGCAGGAAAGGAGGTGTGAGGGACTGCAGCACAGGACCCCCAGCCCTGCACCCCCAGCCCTCCCCAGCCTCACCTGTAGCCAGCCAGGATGTTCATGAGGGTGGACTTCCCGGCGCCCGAGGGGCCCATGATCCCGATGAGCTCCCGCTGGCAGAACTTCCCTGACAGGCATTTTAGGAGAGTCTTGTACCCTGGAGGGAGAGAGCAGCAGGGGGTTGGATTCACAGGGCAGCAGGGCTACAGGGAATGCGATGCCATCCTGGCATCTGGGGACCTCAGGGTTTCCATGTGCTGGTGTCGGGGGAACTCAGGTTTTCCATGTGCCGTGCCAGGGGCTGCATGTGCCTGGGGCCCGTCTCCATCAGCGTCCCCAGGGCTATGGCCACAGCAGGATCACCTCCAGCACGATCCCTGACCCTGGGCCTTGGCTGATCCCACTGGTTTCCAGTGCTGAAGAAGCTCATGACCTGGATCACAGCAAAGACCAGGGAAATCCCTGGGTCAGGTCACAGAGCTGCTAAGGAGGATTACCAGGCTGTGACATCGGTCCTGGGCATGTCTTCATATCCCAATCCCTGGGGCCAGGGAGAGAGGCATGGGGAGGAGCAGGGCAGCACAGGGCAGGCAGAGTCCCCAATCCTGCTGGAAACTCTTGCCTTCATTGGCATTCACACTGTGCCGCCCGGCAGCAGCCACTGCTAATCAGACCTGGAATTATCTCCGCTTTAAACGCAGCTGATTAGCATTTTCTGGCAGAAGGAACATGATGTGTCGGGAACAGGGAACAAGCACAGCCTCGGGCTCTCAGGAGCTGCCCCCAAAATGCAGTCCTGGCCAGGAGAGCAACGGGATACAGGATACAGGGTGTTGTGTTGGGAGCACGGCCCGAGCTTGAGCATCTCCCTAAGGGAAACACGCCCCCTCCGCGCCCCACGGGGGCAGGTGGTGTGGGACGGGGGCAATAAATCCACCTCCCATCACGGTCCCACCACACTGTGGGGAGCCCCTCTGGCTTGTCCGTGCCCAGGATAGGGGGGTGTTGGGCAGGGTGCCCAGCACCAGCATCCCCAGTTGCTCCTCTGCACCCCTCGGAGCTGGCACCCCGCGCACGGCAGCGGGTCCCGCTGGCAGAGGGGCAGCGAGGGGAGGGCGGGGGGCTGTGCAGGGTGGCAGCAGAGCCCAGCGTGCCCGGCAGCCCCCCCGGGCACCACGCACGGCCCCGCACCGCGCATGCTGCTCACGTCGGCGCCACTGCAGCTTGCGCAGCGGTTACTCGCGTTCATTGACTGCCAGTAACCTCCTTCCTCAGCTCAGCGGGGCAGCCGGAGCTGGGGGCTGTGGACAAAGGCACCGCGAGCCCCCCCGCCGGCTCCTCCGGCTCTGCCTGGCCTGGCGGAGAAGAGCGGCCCTCCCACCGGGGGACCCCGGTACCCCTCGGCATCTCCTAGGGGGTCCAGCTTCCCGAGCTTTTCCCCCTCCCTCCCTGCAAGGCAAGCAGCCGGTCCCCTCCCCGGGAGCTACAGCACAACCCACGGCTGAGCCGCGGCTCCCCCCGGGATGTTTCCTCAGCATCCCAAATAAACAGGCGGGCAGCATCCTCTGGGATGTTGGGGCTGGTCCCCACATCTCTCAGTGCCTCAGTTTCCCGAGCTGCACAGCCTGGTTTGGGGTCGGGGTCAGAGGCTCCACCCAGCACTCCTGGCTGGCAGGGCACCTCTCTGGGCAGCGCTGTGACCTCGATCCCCGCTCATCCCTGCCTGCCTTCTGGAGATCAGCTCCCCCTCCATCTTATCGGGCTGCCTGATTGGCATCCCATTAACCGAGAGCGCTAATTAAAGCAGACTACCACCCACCAGCCGCCATCTGCCTCCCCTCTCCCCTCCCTGAGCTCTCGGCCAGAGTCACACACAGCAAAGGGAACCGTGGCCTCAGCTGCACAGGGAACCACTGGAGAGGAAATCCCTGCAAACCACACGTCCTCCTTGCCAGGCTCTGAGCTGGGGCACCCCCAGGGTCTCCTGCTGCCAGCACATCCCACACAGCCATCATACCCCAAACAGCAGTGCTGGGGAAACCCAGCCACCCTGGCTGCCCCAGCATCTCTGCCCTGTCTCTCTCCCCACATAGCCCCAGCCAGAGGTTTCCCTGGAATGCGCTGTGCTTTCCTCCTGCATTGCACAGCAACTGCTGTGGGACACGAAGCCTTCCCTCCTCCCACGGGCACCCAGCACCAACAGCCAGACACAGCAGGGCTGCAAACAGCCCCTGGCACTCGGACAGAGCAGGGTGAGATCATGGCATGCACAACAGGAGCGGGGTGTCCCTGCCCTGCCCTTCCCCACCCGCCAGCTCCCACCTCTCTTCCTCCACCAGGATCCTTCCCGCACGGAGTAGGACAGGTCGATGAACTCGATGTTGACGGCCGAGCGCTTCGGGAGGTGGGAGAACCTCTGGGCCTCCGTGATGTGGTTCTCCACCTTCTTCAAGTGGGTGGTGAGGAGCGGGGCGTCCGGGGGGCTGGCGTGGCACACCGTGTCCTCCAGAGCGATGGAGACGCAGGCGGGATCCATGCCCTTCTCCGCCATCCTGCCGCTCTGTGGGAAGCGCACAGGGATGGGCTCGCAGCGGGCTGCCTCTCTCAGGGACTGCAGGGACCAGCCCACAGCAAGTCCTCTCTCACCCTTCCCTGCTGGCTCCAGGCCTCACTGCCCCCCCTGCCCTGTGATGCGCTGCCCAGCTGGGTCCAGCACCCACATCTGGATGGGAGGATGGACCCGGACAGGGCGGCTGAGCCTCTGCACTGAGGGGCTCACGGGGAGCAGCTGATCAGCTCCACAGTCAATAATTGATGCACCTCCTGCGGCTGGTCCGGCTCTGGCAGCAGAGCTGGCAGCGTGCTCAGCTCTGCCAGCCCCGGGGCTGCTGGGCTCCCTGCCCCAGTCCTGTCTGTCACAGGGTAGGAGGTGGGAGAGCTGATGTTCTGCCCTACGCCTGCATGTCCCCAAAGGCTCACCAGGAACTGCCCCTGCCTGGCCTGGCCTGAGGGAACACAGGCATGAAATCCTAAGCAAGCTGACTGTTCCAGCTGTTTTCTTGGACAAAGCCTGCTGTGCCTCACCCAGGCTCCTGGGGCACACCAGTCCTGGACAGACTAGACCCCAGCCCGGGGTCCTCGTGGGCTTGCTGGAATAGTCTTAACAGAACAGGAAGGGGGCCCTACTATTGCCAGACCTTCTCTGCCTCCCTCAGGTCATCATTTCACCTCCCTGGCTCTTTCCAGCACAGCCTCAGAGAGCAGGCCAGCACTAACTGGGGCCATGACGCTGACCCCCACATCTGCCCGAAATCCTCCTGCCTGCAGTCCTCCCCTGGCCGGCTGCAGCACAGCCCAGCTCCTCGTGTCTCCGCTTGGCTTGGGGGCTCTGCGGTGCTGGGGGGATGCAGGGCCAGGCAGGGGGGGGAACGCACTAACCTCGGGTCTCAGAGCCTGGGAGGGGGTCGGGGATCCCTGCAGCAGCAGGAAAAGGAGCCTGGGCTGTGCCCAGCGCCCACCTCACCTCCCAGGCTGGGGTCCCCCCGCCTCGCTAACCTACATCCAGCCGGGGCTGCGGGCAGTGCCTCGCTGCGGCGGGAGCGGCGAGGGGCAGCGGGATGGCTGGGAGCTGCGGGAGAGCCCCCAGCCCAGCCCCCGCTGCGGGCTGAGCCCTTCCAGGACTGGAGGGGAGCCAGCCCAGCCCCGGGGAGGGAGAGGTGGGCAGGAGGGGTGGGGGTTCCCAGCATCCACGGGGTGCGAGAACGCGGGGTTCAGGGGGGGCAGCGGGCACGGAGCGCCCTCGGGCTCACCTTGACTCCTCCGGCTGGGCGTTCACGGAGCGCTAAACCCCGCAAGCGGCTCTGCGCGGCTTAGCCCAGCCCCGAGGCGCGGGGTGGGGACGGGAAGGCTTTGCCGAGGATGCTCTTCCTTCTCTCCATCCCCGCTCCCCGCCGGCCCCCTCCATCCCCTGCCCCCCCGGCCCGGGGAGGGGTCCCGGCTCTCCCGCAGCCTCACCTGGAAGGGTGCGGGTGCGGGCGCGGCGGCTCCGCTCCCGCAGCGCCCCCGCCTCGCCTCCTCCTCCTCCGCAGACAAAGGGGCGATGTCCGGGGGGCCCGGCCGGGCGGGGTGGGGGGCTCGGTTCGGCTCGGCGGGCGGTTCTCAGCAGCGACAGCCGCGCTGGGCGCTGCCCGGGGTCCCTGGCCGGGCTCTCCTCCCCATCCCTCCGCGGGGCTGGGCGGGCGGGGCGGGCGGGGGTCGCCCCGGCCCTGCAGTGGCTAGCTGCACCCCCGCAGTGGCTAGCAGAGGCCCCGCAGTGGCCAGCAGCCCCCGCTGCTCGGGGGTGCCCCTCTCCGCCAGCCCCGTTCCCGGTGTTGCCGGGCGGGGAGCGGGATGGGCGGCGGGCTGGATGGATGGATGGATGGATGGGCTGCCCGGGCGGGCAGCGCTGCCAGGCAGCGAAAAAATCCTCTTAAAGGGACCGACTCTATTTCCTCTGCCTGCCTGCCGGCAGGCCCTAAGCATCTCCGGAGCACACGCCTGGGCTTTGCCAGCCCTGTCTCCGCACCCCCCTGCTCCCGTTCGCATCTGGGACACCCCCCCCGCAGTTCCTCCACTGCCACCTCAGCCCAAAACCCACTGAACGAGCCCCAAAACTCCCTGAGTGAGCCCAACACCCCCTAAACCCACTCCTGCCCCTGCTCTGCCCTGCACTGACCCCCGTGCAGCCACCCCTGGGTGAAACCAGGGCTGCCACACAGAGCATTGCCTGGGAAACCCACCCCAGGCACCCGGAGCTGGGGCTGGTGGGGTGAAAACTGGCCACAAAGGGTCTTGATATGGGGTTGGCTCCCCAGGGCTTTTTCCCCAGCACACCCTCCCCTGTGCAGCTCATCCTGCAGGATTTGCCATCCCCCTGCACCTCCACCGTGCCTGGCTCCATCCTCACTGTTACTCACACCTCTCTCCCACCACAGCACTTAAGCACGAAAGACATATGGAAATGAGTGGCACTAACAAGAGTATTAATTAAAAAACCATCTGTTGAGCCAAGGAGAGCTTCCCCCCTCCCATAGCCAGCCTTGGGCTGGGACACAGCTCAGGGCAGAGGTTTGGCCCCCTGGCAGAGCACAATCAAGTCAGGGGAGGCCATGGGGCAAAGCAGCCCATGGGCTGGGCCAGGGGAGGGCATGAGGAGGTCCCCATGGAGCCAAGCTCTGCACAGAGGTCTTGAGTCATCTCCTCATGGAGCAAAAGGCATGTGGTACTCACCCAGTTCACTCTGCCTCCCACCCCCAGGCTACTCACCATTAGCAGGTCTCAGCCCAGGCCCCCTCTGTGCGGTGCCAAACAGCCCTGCTGCCCTGCAGGTGGGCACAAGGTGGGCCTGGAAGGGACCTCCTTGATGCTAATCCCCTTCCTGCTCAGCTGCATGAGTCAGGGCTGGGAGATCCTGAGCCCAGGCTGGTGGCCATGCAGCAACCAGAATCTGCTGCAGCATCCTGCTGGGGAGTCATTTCAAGGTGGAAGGAAGCAGGGATGGAGTCCAGTGCCAAGCCAGGCTTGGTGGGCAGTGCCATGGGCACATTCAGCATCCCTCTGGTCTCCAGCTAGGACCTTCCTACAGTGGCTGTGAGTGTGTCCCCATGGTGGCTCACACACTTCCAGGACAGTGGCAGTGGCAGAGGGAGCCTGTCCTGGTTCTGTCATGGATGTTCAGGGCTCCCGGGACAGAGCAGGGAGCAGAACCTCTGTGCATGATGGGAAAACCTGGGTGGTTTCCTGTAAATATATTTTGAATTACCCATGGCAGTGCTGCTAGTCCTCCAGCTCCCCCAGCAATGCCATCACATGTGCTCCAGACCACCTCCTCCTTCCCTGGGGGAATAAAAACTCTGGCTTTTCCACTGCTGCTTCCTAGGGAAGTCAGGGCAATCCTCTGGGAGCACAAGGCTGTTCCTGGCTGGAACCAAATGTCTCTTGGTGGCCCCTGGGGAAAGGGGCTCTCAGGGTAGGACCAGTGACCCCCTGGAAGGAGCCCAGCAGTCAGTGTGTGGAGCTGCCCACGGGAAAGATTTTTGCACCTGGGAGGTGAAACCTTTCCTCACAGTTGTCTGTGCTGGCCCCAGTGCTCCCAGGGCAGTTTTGACCCACTTGATTCCTCAGCAATGGGTGCTGCAGCCCTGGCCAGGCTGCTCTGCAGATCCCACACTCCAGCTCTGCCTGAGGGCTGCAGCAAACACAGAGGGCAGATCTACCCCTGGCCTGTGTGCAGGGAATCCCTGGCACATGGAGAAATCCCAGCCTGCAGCACTGATGGGACAGATCCTCCTGCTGCAGGCACATGCACACGTGCTGCCTCCTCCCTAAAAGGGGATTTGAGTGTCCCCCGCCCCTGGAGAGCCCTGGAATGGGGCCAGACAGCAAGGCAGCCCTGCAAGAGCGAGTCCAGAACATCTCTTCTCCTCTCAGACGGCAGCCTTGGGATGGATGGAGCTTATGGAAGCAATGGAGACACGTGGTGGAGGGAACAGACACCCAGGGTGGAAGCCTCCCTCAGCGCGGGGCCACAGCCCTGGATGGCCCAGCTCTAGCTGGAGGAACCTGCGAGGGGAGCAAAGGCAGCAGATCCTGAGCTGTTTGCAGCCCCCAGGAGTCAGTGCCAACCCTTCCCGCAGAGCAGCGGCCCCAGGGCAGGGCTGGCACCGCCGGCACTCACCGCAGGGCACGTGGCAGTCGCACTCGCAGATGTCACAGCGCTGGAACCAGCGCGCCCAGCCCGACTGCTTGGTCACACAGGACGAGATCTTGATGCAGCCGCGGTTCAGGGAGGCCCCCAGGTGGGCCTGGGAGCTGCAGGACGACGAGCACTTCCCGGTGATGTCCCGCTCGCTGATCTCGATCCGACCCCGCAGGCAGATCCCTGCGGGAGCAGGGACGGGGCGCGTCAAAGGGTGCCCACCGCGGGGCACTTTCCCGGGGGAAAGGGGGGCCGGGGGCACTCCTGCAGCCCCATCCCCGTGCGGGCAGGGGGCTCGGCGTGCCCCCCGCTGTACTCACGGAGGCAGGAGGGCTTGGGGGTCCAGCGGCCGTCGGACTGGCAGGCGCTGACCGGGTCCCCCAGCAGCAGGAAGCCGGGCCGGCAGCTGTAGCGCACCACGGAGCCCACCCACCAGTCGTTCCCGTGCACCACCGAGTTGAAATCCGCCTCGGGCCGCCCGCAGTTCACTGCCAACACGGAGGGTCCCGTCTGCCACCACCCTGTGCAACCGGCAGCCCCAGGGGTGCCCCAGGCAGGGCTGCGGGTCCCGGATGGGGACCAGGGGCTGGGCAGGATCTGTGTCCCCACGTGGCCCCAGGGCCAGGCTGCTGGAGGGACTCACACACGTGTGTGTGTGTGGCACAAACCCTGCCCTCCTCAGGGTGCCCGTGCCGAGCCCTGCAGCAGCCCCAGGACCCCCACCCCGCTCTTCCCACTTTGGTTTTACCTCTGCAGAAGGATTTGTAGCCCAGCCAGCAGCAGCTGCCGTTCCCACACTGGCTCCTCTTCAGCTCCTTGTGCTTCCCCTTGCAGCCCCCCATGCAGATGGGGGCTGTGCCAGACCAGTAGGTATCCAGGTCTTCTGGTGCCACTGAGAGCAAGGCTGGGGGGTGAGGACCACCATTCCCACCAGCTCCCCAGCCCTCGGGGTCCCACAGGGAGGTGTTTGAGCCCACCAAAACTCCTCTCAGCCCACCCCCACCCCTCACTGTGGTGAGTGTCCTCACTCCCAGACCCCAGCTCCCGCTTCCCCTGTGCCAAGCCCCAGCACAGAGGTGTGGTAGAAGTCTTGCCCTTACTGGGAAAGACTGGTCCAGCAGCTCTGGGGCACCCTGCAAGCCCCTCATCCCCCCAAAAACGCCCTGTTACCTTCTGGGTCCTCGCAGGAGACCAGCATGGCCAGCATGGCGAGGAAGAGGAGGCCCAGTGCCATGGTGCACACTCTGCTCTCCTCCCCTCGCCCCTCAGACCACAGACCCCCCTCTCTGCTCGCCCAGGAGAAAGTGAACTTGGTTTTCCATACACACACACACAGGACAGGGGATGCTGTAGGACATGGGGGAAGGGAGGAGACATTCCCTCTAATGCCAATCCTCTCCC